GGAACGGGGGTGATTTTTGCCACTCCTTATGTAGACCTTTGACCCCCTCCCACACATAATGGTTCCCTGGGTGAGCTGCAGTGTGAGGGGGGAGGTGAAAGATCCACCGATTGTTCACTTTGTGGACTTCGCTGGCCTTCTGCAAGTTAATGCTTTAGAAATTCCAAATGGGAAATGGTCCAATGAATGTACTGAAACACATTTACATAAATATATCTAATTGTTGACTAGTTGTTAAGTGAAAAAGCTCCTTAAATTGTACTTGGAGGGCCCTAAAAGACCAGTTCACACTATGGAGAAGGGTGTTTTTTGTTTTTTTGTTTTTTGGGGGGGAGAGAATAAAATAATCCCATAATATATAATGGGATTATATTACCTGACATAACAAGAGGATGGTATCAGATCTTTGGTTAAGTTCCCCTGTCTGAATCCAGCACCAGTGATACCTGAGTCATCCTGCTCTCACCTATATCTCACACAACTTGGATCGTATTGGCACATATTTTAGGGGATGTTTTGTTATCAACACAGAGTTGTAATACGGACTTGTAGGTTTCTCCCAGTGTGATAAATGTCTGTAACAGAAACGCCACCCAACCCTCATCCTCTTTACACATTTCCTAATGTACTCCACAGAATAACTCTTACCGTAGTGTATTTACCCAGCTGGCAGAGTGAAGGAAAAGTTTCCTGGTGGGCTTTCCGGATTTTCTCTGTGAGATCATCCAACTCGGCTGTCATTTCATAGTTCTCCATAAGCTCCTGCTTCAAAGGCTCCTTCTTCTTTTTGTTCCTGTCATTTCTGACAGCTGGAGGCAAGAATGGAGGCACTTCAGACACGGCTACTTAGACTACTCTACACTACCTTTAGTAGTCCTTTGTTACAGCTATAAACATTAAAAAGGAAACATGCTGCGAACACGGAAAGGAAAAACAGAAATTTAGTGCAGTGTTGGTTAACAGCATGTGATCAGCTGAATCTGGGTACAAACCTGTCACCTGCAGCAGAAAGGACTTTTTTGGGGGGGAAGTCTCCATTTATTATGAAGCATTACTTTTGACCTCAGAATCATCTTATACTTTGTGCCATCCATAAATTCATCCATCCTTCCAAATATTTATTAACATAAATGGATTGAAGAAGCACTATTGTGGAGAAAATAAAGAGCACTCCTCTAAGTACCAGGACATAGTCGCTGCCTGTTTGCTCAAGGCCATCTCTTTCTCAGTGCAAAGATCTCTCACAGATCGCCATAACAAGGAGACTATCACTCCCCTTATTACAATTCCTCTTTAGCAAAAGCCACAGAATGCTACTCACTATAAACTGTCTAACGTATATGCCCTATCAACAGCCACCTCTTAGAGGTTGTATTTGAGTATATATACCTGCCTTCCTGCAATTTCCACTCCTGCATAGGAATATGCCCCTTGGTGACCAATCATCACTGTATTACCAACCCAGAATTCAAACTTGGTGGTACCCTGGAGACAAACTGAATGACTGCACCAACAGCTCTTGCAGGCAAAAGCCTGTTTCTATTAAGGGACTGAAATTGTGGTGGGGATAGGTGCAGGGGCTAAGGCACACTGAGAGAGAAACCAAATTAACCAGGTAAGAATTGGAAGGACTAACAAGGCGGAACACCTTTTGAAGAATGGAGTGATAACCATACCTTAACAAAACAAATAAACTTGCCCCTTCCCCAACAATGGCATAACTTTATAACCTTGAAAGGAATTGCATAAATTAATACCTTCCCATTTAAGTCAGTGAAAAAACCCCAGAAAACCGCTTCTTACTTTCTCTCTGTCTTTGCCCCCACAAACACAGTGTAGTAATGGATTCTGGCTTGCTGTAGCTAGTCATCAAACACAATCAGTGATTAGTCTGAGCAGCAGAATAAAGGTCTCCTGTATCAAGACATGAGGCTACATCCCTGAGCATATATATTAAAAACCTGTGGAAACTCTGGCAATGGGAATCAGGGGTTGTTTTGCACAGACACCCAACAGCACCAAAAAACAAATAAACAGAGGGCAGATAACTGGTCTCTCAACCCCTGCAATAAAAGGATAAGTGCACAGAGCACAGTATTTGAGGCAAGTGGGGCTCTCTCCCATCCCCCAATGCATTATGGGGACCAACCCATATTCAACCAGTGGTAGGAGACTGTGTTCCAATTAAAAATGCTACAGCAGATTGCGTTGCCTTTTATAACAGGGCAAGCTCCATGCATAGACATTTGGTGACTGGCAGTGAGAGAGTAGGTTCCTACCTACCACTGACTTGTAGCTCCTCATGGGGAACCTTTGGTACTGCTGGGAGCCCTCCCAGGCATGGGTAGGCAAGGAAGGGGTGATGCCAAAGGCTTGGATTCTGGGACACTGACTACAAAGGCTATCATGGGCCTTCCTTCTGTTGATTCCTGTAGTTGTGTCGTTCTATAATTCTGTACTAGTCCCACTCCCTTTCCCTGGGGTATCTGATCTGTTGTCAGCAGGACACCCCAAAAGGCAGGCTAAGCCATGTGCAGGACGCTGAAAGAAAGGACTTGAACCGCTGTCACATGTTTCCTTTTGTACTGCATGGGCAACTCACAGTACGGCCAGCTCTGAACATGTTGTTGTCTGTTCTCCATCATGCAAGTGATCTTCTTTTATTATTTATTTATTTTGTTAATTTTTTATCCCACCCTCCCCGCCGTGGCAGGCTCAGGGCGGCTTACAATATATACCAATAAATATATACATTAAGACTCCACGATATTAAAACAAAATTCAGTTAAAATTACTATATAAAAAACCATAATGACTCCAAATATAACTACAGTAGAGGATGGCAGTGTTCTCTTGACAACTGGATGGTCACCTACCCCCAACCCAGGCTGTTGGTCGTCAGGCTGGCAATGATGTTGATGTTAATGTTCGGGCCAGGGCCATGGTGTTAAAGGCGGCCCCCTAATAGAAAGCCTGGTGGAAGAGCTCCGTGCTACAGGCCCTGTGGAACTGCAGAAGGTCCCACAGGGCCCTGATGTCCTTCGGGAGCCTCATTCCACCAGTAAGGGGTCGCCACAGAAAAGGCCCTGGCCCTCATTGCAGCCAGCCTGGCTTCTTTCGGGCCTGGGAGAACCAGGCGATTTTGGGATCCCTATCTCAGTGCTCTCCGAGGGACATATGGAGAAAGGCATTCCCTTAGGTAGATAGGTAGATCTTCTCACCTCTGTTCTGCAGAACGATGTTTACTTTATAGGAATACAAAGATATTGTGTGCAGTATTGAGAAATTTGTCTGGGAGGAACTAGGATGCCTCTGGTTCTATGTGCATGTTGCCTAAACACCATGAAATGTAGGGTTGCCAACCTCCAGGTGGTAGCTGGAGAGCTTCTGGGATTACAACTGATCTCTAGGTGATAGAGATCAGTTCACCTGGAGAAAATAGCTGCTTTGGAAAGTGGACTCTATAGCAGTATACTTGCTGAAGTCCCTCCCCTCCCCAAACACCACCCTCCTCAAGCTCCACCCCCAAAATCTCCAGGTATTTTCCAAGCTGGAATTGTTAACCCTAAGAATGTTGAAGGAAGAAATGCAGTTGTATGCTCTTTCTGCCTTTCTGGTTGTGCGCTGTGCATGGAGGGTATATGCGCACTCAATATGGTGGCAGAGGTGCCAGGCACAGGTCAGTGTAGGTACATGAGCATTTGTTTCTACAGGTATTGAACATCAGATTACAAATGACATTATGCCAGCATTACACCAGCATAGCTGGGACCCCGGGATTGCCCTGCTTCACAGTTTTGTCAAATCCTACCCCATTTTCAAGGAGCAGCAAGAATCCTCCAATCAGCTGCCATTTGCATATATTTCTATGAGCTGATTGACACATTTGCTAAACATAAGGACTCAGCAGCTAGTTAGCTCAATAGCTTTGAACAGCTTGTGGAACACAAACACCTCATTTAGGGCAAGTCTTGTGACCTGCTGCCAAGAACTCCCAGAGATGAGCTGATTTATATGGGAAGCACTTTTCTGCTCCTTTTTCTGCTGCTCTTAGTTAGAACCCTTTAAGGATTTTGCCAGACTGAGAAAGGTTGCTTGTCCTGCAACATTATGAGGAATCTGAGTCCTGCAAGCTAAAATAATTCTTGATTCTTATTTCTTTAAAAATGCAACTGTGCAAACCTTAAAAATGGAACAACAGGCTACTGTCAATCAAGTTTAAGAAGTCAAATCTGGTGAAGCAACAAACAGTCTCACAAGTTAATGACAACAATGGAGTGTGATATCCAATTTTGCAGAAAGTAGAGAGTTCTGAATTACAAAAACATTACATATGTTCCGAGAGTGTTCATTCGGTGCAAAAGTCAACGGCAAGTCTCTTCTGCGGACTAGGGAATTAAATAAACACACAAAATCAGTAAATTCCAAGATAGTGTTCCCAAAGTGGCCGTAACTGCTGTGCTGTGCAAATACAGAATGTGTGATTATGCTGTATATTGTATTTTATATAAGTTATATCTTCCCACAGCTAGTTATCTCCACACAAATCCCTAGTGCGAGTTCATAGCCTTTAATGAAGTCACACGAACTATGAATCTAACTATTGTATTTAATGTGCCTAGAGTAATGTTGATATAAGAATTCCTTAGTTTTATAGGCTTTAAATACTTAGGACTCAAGTATTGCCATATTTCACAGTTTTCATTGTGTGTGTTGGGAATGGTACGTACAGAGGCAGGCTGTTAAAAAGGGGAAACACCAGAATACATTCCTGCCATATTTTGTTTCCCTTTTATATATTTTTCTCGTTTTAAATTATAAGACCAAGCCATTCTCTTTTCTGTTACTTGCCACCACACAGCATTAATAAAGGACTCTAAATTTAACACCTACGTTCCGCTAGAAAGCTTAGAATAGCTCATATGAGCCAGTATGGTTGGTTCTTCCTACCATGCTTTACATCAGTTCTTGCTTCCTCTTGATGAGTTCTCAAGAATGTGATCTGACACTAGATTTCTAGCTTTTTAAAATTAAGATGACTGGCTCTGTTTGGATACATGGCTAGAATTTGAAACTGCCATAGTTTAGGTACAGGTGAAGTTACTTCTAAAAAGACCCATATTGTCCTGTGCTATTAGAAAAGACACTTCTAGGCCAGGGGTTCCAAATGTGGCACCTGATGATACCTTTCTTGATGCCTGCCAAGTGTTTTTAGAAAGTGGGTGGAGCCCTGTTGGGGCCATTGCCTAGCAGGGCTTCTGATTGGCCATTTGAGATCTGATTGCTTTGGCAACATCTGCCACAACAGCACAAGGATCTTCACTGAATGACTGCCAGGAAAGTTGTGTGTATGCAAGATTGTATTTTTAAACAATATGTTCATTTTAAAAGGCACCCAGTTAATCAGAGTTATGCATGGACTTTCTTGCTAACGTTTTGTGGCTGGCTTATTTATTTATTTATTTATTTATTTAATTCCACTTATACCCCGCCCTCCCCGCGTATGGGCTCAGGGCGGCTTACAACCACAAGGCACAACGTGCGATAAAAAACAATAAAATAATTTAAAACAATCCACACATGGGACACGCCCAAGGATCCCGCATGCCTAAAACCCTCTCTCTATATTGCACATGCCCCTTCCACTCCAGGGGAGGTTCCATTTACAGAGGAGGTTCCAGTGGCCCCTGATGTTCCTTGCCACTCAACCTCCGGCGGTGCTGTGAGAACGGTCCTCGTTGATGGTAGTGGTAGCGGCGGCGGCTCCTATTCAAAAGCCTGGCGGAAGAGCTCCGTCTTACAGGCCCTG